AAGAAAATGAAAGACACTAGCTCACAACTGAAATTTGCGACCATTTCCTGCCTTAGGACAGCGACGGTTTGAATATGGATATGCATCAACCCCTACGAATTCTGCTCATTCAAGAAAACAACTTTGATAAGTCTTTTTGACCCTTTTATTCCGACTAATGATAAGGAAAAAACAGTGATCGATATATATATTCTAATTTTATGTATTTTTTAATTTTTTTTAATTTAATTATTAAAATATATAATTAGTGGCATTGGCATAGTTAGATTTTTTTTAGTGGGGCCAAAAGAATTTTTGAAAGGGGAGACATGCATCTTTGCATTAATTAAAAGGTTAATAAAAAGAAAAAATTTTATTAAAAAATTATTTTAAATTAAGATTTGTTAGACTTTAGCTATAAACTAATATTAATTGAAGGTATGGTATTTTATATATGACATCAACTGGGAGATACAATGAACATATATTAAATAGTAGAATGCTAATAAACAAAAAAAATGGTATTAATGAAAAAAAGTATTAATAAAGAGTTATTTCATAAAAGGATAATATTGAACCCTTTTTTATTTAATTAATCTTTATTTTTTATCGTATTTTATTTTATCTTTATTTTCCTCATTTTTCTCATAATCACTAAAATTGATTTTTGAAAAACCAAGGGTTAAAAATAATTAAAATGTATAAAATAAACAAGAATTGAGATAATAAAAATATAGCTTAAAGAACCAAAATTTTTATTTTTCAAAAGTTTAGGGGGTGGGTTGTGCCACTTCAAGCCCCCTAACTTTGTCAGTGAGTACATTTGATTCTTATATATTATATGCCTTGTTGCACCTTTAAATTTGCTTACTTTTAATTTTAAATAAAATAATAATAAATTTTTAATAAATATATCATACAATATATTGAATCAAAATGTATATTAATTTCTATTAAAAAAAAAACAAATTTAGTAGTTGAAAAATGACCCAAGAGACAATTTTTTTATAACTTTTATATAAAATTTTTCATGTCATTTAAATAATTAACTCTTTCTACTTCACTAAAATACATGATATTATATATATTTATTTAATAATATGAAAGTTGTAAAAAAATTATACAAAAATTTTTTTATCATATCATTGGCCTTAAGTGATCTCATACATCTAGGTGCTCAATCGAACAATGTGTTTTTGTGTATATGCATATAGGTAACTTGCAAAGGTATGAAATGGATAAGGTAATTAGATTAGATGTTCAACTACAAATTTATCTTCATTTTTTATGCTAGTTAAAATATTACAATTAGAAGTAATATACAGTAGTTCGATTATTTCACCAAAAAAAAAAAAATACAGTAGCTTAGCTTGCAAAAAAAGTTTGTGCCTTAAAAAGAAAAAAAAAAAGGAAAAAGGAAAAAAACACGACTTAATGAGAGGTGTAGGTCTGATTAGTTTCACTTTTCCTCCAATAAATGATTAGTTTGTTGCAAAATTAGTAAAGAAAATCATGTCCTTGTTGACAAGTAGCCCCATGATAATATTTTTTAGAAGAAATCCAATCACGGAGGAAAAAGAAAAAACATGAAAAAAAAAAAAAAAGGGATAATCGTTTTAATTTTAAAAACTTTGGAAATTAGTTTCTGGGTTCTGTCCGGGCCTTGGATTCGAAATTAATATTTGGGCCTCGGTTCAAAATAAAACAGCAGACTTTTGAATTGGGCCAAGGCTAGAAACGTAAACAACTTGATTCAAGACACTTCAAGTCCTCACAAGCCTGAAGTCAGCAGCAGCTGCACCAAATTCACTAATTTTTAGGATTTTTTTTTATTTTTTTTTTTATTTTTTGTGTCACAAGAGTGACCTAGAATTCCTTTTTTTTTTCTTTTTTATTGATCGCGTTAACATAGATTTTTTTTTTCAATGTTACTCCCAAATTGACATCGAAATTAGTTTATAATGACCCTTTAATACTCAAAATTGTTTTGATCCCTACTTCATAAAAGTGTTTAATAGAGTTTTTATTAAGTGCGAGCAATTTATATAACCCACTTACAATATTTTTTTTAATGGAAATAAAAGATTTTTTACTTGATATGCACACAATATATTGAATTAAGAAATAAAAGAAAGTTAATCAA